GGACGAACTGTGGAGCAGAAATGGGTTGCAAAGTGGCTTGTATAGGAGTAGCAACTGCGGACAGGCTAAATAAGATTTGGGTATGTTAGTTTTAATCATCAGATTGCTGGGGCTTTCTTTGTAGTATCATTGGGTTTTTACAATCTACAATCTTACAATATAAAGTACCTTGAGGCAACTGTTGTTGTGATTTGACGCAATATAAATTTGAAATTGAAAATTCAGTGAACGCAAAGGGAGCAACTCGAGGTTAAGTATATTGCCCAAGTCACCATCCAAATCACCATTGCTGTTAGTGATCAAACCTAGTTTGAGTGTGTCACTTGATATAAAAGTCAGTTGTAAAAGTGGCACAAAGGTCACAGGATTCCTCAACTTAATAAGAAAAATGACTCGTGGATAAAAATGGCGTGTTCTGGTAAATATATTTAACTTCTTTTGTCTACTGGACCATGAGTTGTATGAGGTTATGACAATAAGAAATTAGGTAATCCACAACTACTGTATATACTGACCATTAAAAAAAATACATCACTTTCAGAGACACTGTACATGTTCAAGCTCCATGTTTACACACAGGCACAGCTGGTCTACTGTCATCATCTCTGGAATTTGTGCAGCCACAGTCTCCAGCTGAGTTTGTATCTCAGTTACCCTAAAAGCCCAATAATGTGAGTAATCATTAAACCTTGAGCCACAACCTGATCTGCTCTGTAAAAGAATCACCACGAGCACAGATATCAAGGTAAGAGGGGGTGGGCGGAGACTGGAGACAGTGGATTTGTTTTTTTATAAGCAACAAAGATAAAGTGCATAGTGCAATGCAGAACAGATAAGCTGAGAAAACCGGACCCTTAGATTGGACGACACTTTAAATGTGGCAGCAAAAGAAGAATGTCCTTAAATAAATACGTTACAAATGAACTTTATTTATACAGCGTCAAATCACAACGGTTGTCACACATCCATTACCCTAGACCCAACAAAAATGCAGAGTTATCAAATTCCAGTTCAGGGATCTCTTGTAATGTAATATTTTATGATGTTGTAGTTGACTTATAAAAATTGTGATTAAGAGACAGGCTCCGTTAACACAATTATTCGCCGTACTTATCTCTGAGTACCTGAGAGCGGACAATTTTCAGAATACGTTAATAGTGACGTGAACGTCACAGGGTAATTAAGCCACCGTAAGCAGTACATTGAGTGGAATTGCTGGTTGCTGTATTGTTATGCTAAGTGTGAAACATAAAAACACACGTAAAACCTTCCACTTAATGCTGCTCCCAGCAGAGTAAGGAACATTAACCTGGAAACGCAAACACGGACACATTAGCAGGCTACAGACTCCCCACGCGCTTATTCATTCCAGCTGCCTGCCACACAGCTAGCCAAATCGGCTCACCTTTGCTACGTAGCTGCAGTTCTGTTTTCAGGATAGCTATAAGAGACATTACTTAACCCTAAAGAAGCACGAGCAGACGAAGCCAGGTAAATATTGATCAGTGCGCCCACATGGTCTTGTTTCCCAGTCACCCTGACCTAAACTTCACATTGGTACCGCGTGCACCAACGTGAAACTAATCTGATAGCCGGCTCTGTCAGAGCCCTCGGCGACAGCTAAACAAGCGAATACCAGTCCCCCTTGATAATATTTCCTCTTGAGTGAATTTATTAGCTCAGCATGCTTACCTGTGGACGAGTCTTCGCTGGCAACCTGCTCTAATTGCAACACATCACTGGGTTGAAGCCACTTCATGAGTAGGACCTCCCATTATCCTTGACACTAGATGCCTTCACGTGCTCCCCGTAAACTAAAATTAAACCTAACCACCTCCATATATTTCATTGGGTTTAAATTACTGCCGGGTATCTACTAAATATGTTACACAAGTAGTTTCATAAAATTGAAATACTCCATCATGTCAACTTTGTACTTAACGGTACTTAAATACAAGATCCTGCTAATTTGTTGACGCCGCTCTTATAAAGATCTTTGGCAGTGGCAACTTTATTTAAACCACTGAGACACAACCCAAAGAATTCTTTAATAAGGTGAAGAATAAATCAGAATGCTAATGAATGGTTTGCAATTATTTGAAATACGTTCACAGCCCATTCTTTCCCTTTCCCAAATCCAATACAACTAGTCTTTCTAAAATCTGTGAAGGGAATAGATTGCTCTGGCACTCTAGAAATCTTTAAATATTAGACTATGATTTGAGAGCTCTAGTTTTCCACCTGGAATGAATTGAGGCAACAGAACATGGGAGCACTGTAACTGTTGCAGTCATTTCGGGCATGATGACGATGTTTGTCGTGATGCCAGTGAGCAGCCGCAACAGTACCGGGGAACCGGGGCACGTCATCATCGCTGGTAATTGATCACCATGGCAATGGCAGCTGATTGATTTTGCCGACTCATTGACATATCCCTCGTTCACCCCACAGAGCACACGCACACGGTTGTATCCTACCTGTCTTTTTCCATATCCAAAGCTAGTATGAAGACATTTTCTCAGTATTCATACCCCCGATGACACACGCTCGCTCCGAGTTCAGACAATGCATTATTGACATTCATCAAAACGGACCCCATGACATCCTTCACTGCTCCCAGTGCGCATTGGTAAATACGCAGCTGCACACATCTCTGTCCCCTCTTCCGGCTGGTGACTCATGCGCCTCACTGAATTAACGGTGGCACTACAGAGGAGGGATGATACTGTAGAAAGTCAGGGTACATAACATCAACTGATTGCTTTATTCCCTTGGCTTCAAACACAGGCACGAAAAGATAAACTTAGCACAAAAATTTAAAAGCAAGGAAATTTGTGTTTGGTTCATTATGTTTTAGCCTGTTTATTTCCTCTTAAATGGTGCCCCACATGTAAGGAAAACACATTTGTAGGTTGCTCCCATGCAAAAGTAGCCAAGTCTTTTCTGCCAATGCCAAACAGCTTATTCTGATATTGACTCTTGTTCTGAGCTTCGGGTATCCCAGGTGATGACAATCAGGTTAGCCGAGCTGGCAACACCTGTGAACATGGACCCTGCTACAGGGTCAGTGTCTGCTCCAAGAATACCACATCTGACTGACCTGGATAGGGACTGTACCATAGGAAAACTTAAAGCTGGTGTTCTGCAAAACAAAGTTGCAGGGTTATTAAGAGTGAGCCAGTACATTCGACAAACTGCTGTTGCTCTGGTGTCGGCAACATAACAATGCTGACCTCAATCCCACTGAACACATGTGAGATCAGCTTGAGTGTGCTGTTCATGTCAGTGTGACCTACACAATCAGTAGCAGATGAAGCTGTTTTTCATTGGCAGAGAAGATTTGGCAAGTTTGTCACAGGTGCAACCCACAAATGTAATTTTTCTTACATATGTGGCAGCATTTAAGGAGAAATAAACAACTTTAAACAGTATGCGATTTATTACCAGGAACATTTCTGCCACTTTCTAATAGTGCTGTAACTAACTTTAAGAATACATTTCACCCACTGTTATCATCATGTCTTGTACCAACACAGAGCACAGCAGCTACCTGGGAGAGTTCTACCAAGAACTACTCCAAGAAAAGTCGATTATGTTCTTAATAATTTTACCTCTTCTCTATGTATGACTCTGGATACTGTAGCTCCTGTGAAAAAGACAGCCTCAAATCAGAAGTACTTGACTCCCTAGTATAACTCTCAAATGCATACCTAAAGCAGATAACTCGTAAGCTGGAGAGGAAATGGCGTATCACAAATTTAGAAGATTATCATTTAGCCTGGAGAAATAGTTTGCTGCTTTATAAAAAAAAGCCCTTCATAAAGCTAGAAGTTCTTACTATTCATCATCACCCAGGTTTCTCCTCAGCACTGTAGCCAGGCTCACAAAAAGTCAGAACACTGTTGAGCCACCCATTCCTTTAAAGTTAACTAGTAATGATTTCATGAACTTCTTCACAAATAAAAATTGAACCATTAGAGAAAAAATACTCATTATCTCACAGATGTAACATTATGTACAGCTACTTTCAATACCATTGATATTCATTTACTCTTTTTCTCCAATTGATCTTTCTGAGTTAACTTCAGTAATTACTTCTTCCAAACTGTCAACGTGTCTTTTAGACCCCATTCCTCTGTTTACATTATACATGGTTCCCTTAGGCAGTATCATCAGAAGGTATAGCAGACATTTTCACTGCTATGCAGATGACACCCAACTTTATTTATGTATGAATCCAGACAACACACACCAGTTAGTTAAACTGCAGGGATGTCTTAAAGACATAAAGACCTGGGGGAACTCTAACTTTCTGCTTCTAAATTCAGATAAAAATGAGGTTATTGTACTAACATATTGTACTTTGCCCTAAAGTTCCTAGAAATATGGTATCTAAACAGATACTTATGGTGCCTTGAGGCGACTGTTGTTGTGATTTGGTGCTGTATAAATAAAACTGAATTGAAACACTGTTACAACAAAGGAATAATTGTTTTTTTCCTTGTTGTAAATTTTCCTTATTGTGTTAAGCTTATTTTTTTTCTTTTATTCAAATTGCTCAGATTTGACCTGAATGCATTTATATAAACCCCCAAAAATATAAAAATTCATCTCAGACCATGAGTTTGCACAAATGGTGGTCAAGCTGTCTAGAAAAACTACTATATCTGGAGAAATTGCAATATGATTGTAGCTAATGATGGTTTACAGTATGCTGGCTTTAAAAGGTGAAGGTATACGACGGTATAAGTTTATGAAGACACTGAAAAGTGGAAAGGCAGTTAGTCCAGATGACATATCTGGACTAACTGGGGTGGTTGAGCCTCTAAATTGTTCGCCACTTGTTAGAAAACACTGCAAAAAAAATGTTCCTCCTCAGACACCTTTTCAGTTTCGTCACACAAAAACTTGTCTTTTTCTTTTCCCTTGTGTGGTGCAAGCTTCTGTTTAACGTTTAACGTGTGCGTTAAACACCTCAACAAACATCACACGAACAGTCATTTAGTTTAGTTTTTTTAATTGTAAAACAAAGTATTATAACATAAATCAATACCATCCATCACCCTCTTCAATAACAGCAATCAGTTTTGTGAGCATGCTGCACACATTAAACCTATTGACACTGGAGGTTACAGACCCCATAAGAGTTTATAGCAGGTGGGCTGCTGGCTTCAGCATGGAGAACAGCCCTCCTAGATCATTTCATTAATAACCTTGCGTAAGTAGCAAGTATTGACTGTTCCTCAGAGAACCTGAGGAATCTTAATGTATGTGTTAACTTTAATATTTTAACATAATTCATACAGGATAAGGCAAGAGCCTCCACAGAACGAGTAATAAGACCTTCTCTGCCAAAGAAGTGACAACTGTTCCTCAACAGGTACAGTGTCTCTGAAACTGATGTCCAACCCAGTGTCCATCCTGCACGTGCTCCTCCTCAGTTCAGCTGTCTGATGATTACATTGATATCTGTGCCACGGTACCCTGGGTTTCCCAGGTCCTTCAGGAGCCCAGCTTTGTCTTTGATGGAGTGACGAGCCACTGACAGCCTGAACGGCAATAGGAAGTTATTGGCAGCTCGAAAGTTCTTCCCAACAGAGTAGATCTCGTGAATCAGGTCCTCCAAGCAGATAATTCCGTGTTTACCTGTGGGCCGAGAGGAGCAGAGAAAGCTCATTAAAGCCGATTCCTGCAGAATTTGAACTCATATTCAGCCAACATGAACAAAAAAAACAAAAAAAACAAAAAAAACAAAAACAGCCTGTGTAGCAGCTATATCCCACAGACTGTACCTAAAAGAGAGACGTAGCCGCTAGCTATAATCTTTCATCCATAATATCTGTATTTTGAAAATTCTGATTACCATTAGAGTCAAAAGCAGAAAAAGGTTGTGTGCTTTATTGTTAGCACAATAAAAACAATATCTGTGAATAAAAACAATGAGCAGTGGGCAAAATGGGCCCGGCTTCAAGAAAGGGTAACTAATAAAAAATAAGCAACTTTCCATTGAGATGGGCAGGAACGAAATGAGTGGGCAATTATGTGTATCGTGATAAAAGGCTGCGGCTACACACTTTTTTAATTGCAAAGCCAATTACATACAGCTTTTTGACAACTCACGTCCTTGCATGACAGTACTACAGACAGCCACTGTTGCTGGGTGAAATCAGTTACAAACATGGTGCGGCACCAAGAACCTTGTACTAATTTCTCCGGTTGCTAGGAGAATGCCATGGTTGCCAGTAATATCTCATGTTTGTCAGCAAATACTTCCCAATTCCAAGCATGGTAGTAGTAAAATTTGAAAAAGTGGAATGCAAACCAGAAATAGACATGGTTCATCTCAAAGTGAAAGCTGTGTCTCAGTGTTACAGTAAACATGTTTCTAAGGACCTTCTCCATTTCCGGAGCTGTTTCACTACAGCTAGATGCTGTTTGTAGACAAGTCCACCACTTCTATTCAAACTGCGATCAGAGCAATATGCTGCCAACCAAAGCAATCACAAGATCACAAGGAGATTTTCCCTAACTGGACCTGAAGTACCCATTTATTATATAGACACAGATGGTTTCCAGGGAGTCACTGACCATATGTAGGCATGTGTGACTGGGGCTTTAGCCATCATCTCCCCAGCAACTTCCATCAACCACTCAAAACTGGTTGGGATATACTCACCTGGTGGTTACCAGATGGTCATGGACCTTTCTAATTATCACATGTGATAGTAGGAAAGCTAACATTACGTTGTTATTGATCATGAGTGCAAAACCTTGATACACACAACTATGTTCATCTGCCCTCTAGAGGACATCATAGCCCCTTTTCTGTTAGTACCTAATTGGATCAACTCAGCACGGTTTGCCACCTGCTTGCCCGGGGTTCCAAGCGATCTGACCAGGTACTAAAATGTGATGCTGTCAGACTGCATACAGCCCACTGGCTGGTCAGTGGCGTCACTCGATGAGTCCTGAGAGCGTCTTATTCATGAAAATTAAAACCGCCACGAAACCCGGCATTGAGGGAAATGGCTACAAAAAACAATCTTAAAGATAATTTAAGAAGTAAAAATAGAACCATGTATTTTATTTTACATAACACTTGAAAGAAAGATGGAGTATGACAGAGGGAGTGGGAGGAGGAAGAGACAGGGAGATAAAAAAGAAAACATGAGAGAGAGGGAGAAAGAGAGGAAGAGAAAGAGGAAGGGATGGAAAGAGAGAGAGAGTGCACAGCTGAAATGAAGTGCACTGCGACTGCAGATGAGTGGGGAGGGAGTGTAGTGTGAGTGACTCACCCATGTGCTCCTCGATGAAGGTGTTATCTGTGAGGGGAACTCTCCTTCTGCCTATCCTGGTCTGACCTCTCTTCAGAATGAGCTCACGAACCGACTTCAGGTTGGGAAATCTGTCCGACACACAGCCCAGTATGTAGAGGATGGAACACAAATTCAAGCCAGCATTACCCTCTAAAGCACACTGTGTTTCACGCACTCACCCCCACGCCACATAAGGCTCCACCATCTTCATCATGGCGATGGAGGTCTTGTTAACTTTGACAAAGCTCCCACTGAAGATCTTCCTCAGCCTCATCATCTGGATCACTTTCATCACTTTAGGGCTGACACCTTTAGTCCTAACAGGAGAGAACCAGTCGGGTTAAACAAACTGTCGGCCGGTTCTGGAAGCCTGTGTCTGCTTTCCAGTACTTACTGTCTAATGCGGACGGCGAAGGCAAGCTTGTTCTTGGCTGGAGGCAGTGATTCAGCTGGTCTCTGTTTGACCCTTTGGATGCGGGTGTCATCCCGATGCTGTGTGTGGCTTTCCTTTAAGAAATCTTCCAAACGCTTGAACTTGATTTTCCCTTTAGTCACCTACAGCATTACAGAAATACACACATGAATGCACAACAGTACATAAATTCCATACAGCTTTTAACTACAAAGCACGGTCATGACGTTTGGATATATTGTATTGTATATATGTAATATGGGCATCAGTGCTTACCCTTCTCTTCTCGAGCAGTGCGAGTTTGGCTTGCGTGGCTTTGATTGCCTGGTATGCCTTCCTCTTTTTCAGAAGATACTCTGGAACCAACTTGATTGCCTTTTTTGTCCTGAAGAGAACACAAAGTAAGAGAAGAAAGCTTTGGACAAACTAAATAAACGTGGCTCAGTCACAGGATTGTGCTGTGGAGAACTGGAGGCTTTGAGTAGCTTCAGGTGTAACCCTAAAACTTGTTAGGAATCACCTAAAACTTGGTTTTTCAGTGTTACCACGGTAGGTTACTTGTTACTGGGGTATGACAGGTATAATAGGTCTGTTTAAGACTGATTCGCCAAAAACACATAGTGTTTATGAGGACCTAGTTAGCCTGAGGTCCCAAGGCTTTTCTTGCGTCCTTGTATTAGGACAACCGGGAGAACAGAATTGTCTGACACAAATTCAAATAGCTTGACCCAGAAATTTTAGGGGTGACGCCAGGTCGGGAGGCCATGGGTATACTTATTCAGTTCGGAGCTACCTTCGAGTCACCGACGGTATACACTTAGCTCCATGTGAAAGTAAGCTCCTCAAGATACGCCTTTTTCACCCATCATCCTTCTAAATAGATACCTTAATCGAATCTTTAAGATTCGTACTTAAAGGAAAAAGCACAATCAGCACATCTACACATAGGAAACCGAACGGATGGACTTAGATACGATTATAAAATCAAACACATACTCTGATTCGGCCATCGTAGATTCCTCGTCGCGGACAAATGACGTCAGCAGATGGTGCCTCGACCTGCCACAGCGTTTCCCACTGCCGATGTTTGGGGGTGATGGCATCATGTGTAGATCTGACATTTTTAAGGTGATGCCACAAGATGGCACAAGCCACACTTTGGGGGTGATGACGACGCCACGGCCGTTTGCACAGACATGCCTCAAAATACGAAGCTAAAGCATCCATTCCATCATGCTAGTATCGATGCTGTCGGCATTTCGATCGATCCGCCCACATCTTACTCTTTTCCGGGTTTAATTTTTGTAACTTGGCGTGTTGTGCCGCTGCAGATTGGTTGCAAGAAGGAAGGCACCCGCCTCCAAATGGGACAATCCCCACTAGGGTTTAAATTCCCGGGACTCTCCACCTTTTGTTTTTAGAACCGAAGAAGCCTCTTGGATGAGATAAGTCTTCTTATAAGTCCAGTTTCCTTCGTCAAGATCTCTCTCAATGCTGCCATCACCTGGATGGCTGAGAACCCACACAAACATTTGTCTCACTTTGCATCTATGCAAATCTGACAGTAAAAGATTTTTTTTAACACCAAGCATGACCTAGGGTTACACAAATATTTTTATCAGGACCACTTAAGGTTTGCCTTCCTTGCATGAAAGTCTAAAATAAAGTTCTTTTGAATTTTCATATATTAATCGTTTGAGTTATTTAGTCAGTGTGAATAAAGCATACACTGTCTCTTATTCAGCCATGCCTCTCTGTTCCCACACACCATTTTGGTTTCAGTGTTTTATACACTGCTCAAAAAAAAGAGAAGGATATCTATACTGATATGGACCTGGTAATGTCTTAGGAACAAAAGGATGTCACGTGGAAATGAGAATAATTAACCTACATAGGTTGAATTCAAAGACACTCTAAAAAGAGGATATTCTCTTTATATCACTTGTAAAGAGACATACAGTACATCTTTCCAAATGCCTTGATATCAGTTTGAATAATCAGTTTTCAGAAAATATTTTAACCCTGGAGAACCCATGGGGTCAGATCCGACCCCATTGGTTTACTAGGGAAACCATGGGGTCAAATTTGACCCCATGGGTTCTCCAGGGTTAAACTGTTCAGAAAAACTGCTTCAGACCTAGGACAAGACAGAGCTGTGGTGTAGGCATCCAAAACACGTGCTTTAAGATGCATTTTAGCACTACGTGTCACATTTTCGGGCTTTAAACTCTAAAGCTGCTATACTGTGGAAAGGTTGTACAAATACTCTAAGAAGGATGAACACTTAACACATAACACATCACATAAAATCAAATGAAAAGATGACACAAATTATTTTCCTAATTCTTTCACTGTAGCAAAGTCCATGAAATCACTTAAAAAATATGGCATAAGTATAAACGGCATTCAGGACCTGAATGGGAAATGGGAAATGACCCTATTGTCGAATGATGAAAACTCCAAAATATAGGCGTCAGGCCAAGGGGATACAAGGATACCCACCCCAGCCCACCACCTCTCAGCATGGCCAACTTCAGACTGGAACAGAGTCCAGCCCCTCTCCGGGGGACTGGTTCCAGAGCCCAAGTCGTGCACTGAGTCGAGCTTGACTATAGTCAGTTTCGCTCAACCTCACATACTAGCTCAGGCTATTCCCATTCAGAGAGATGACATTCCATATCCCAAGAACCATTCTGGGTAGCTGGAGATCTGTCTGGCAGAGTCACTGCTCTTGGCTGCTACCTGGCATACATTGCAACAGACTCCTACTATGCCTCCTGTGGGCGATGGGTCTACAGTAGGGCCTACATTTTTTTTTTACCAAAAATGTCTTTGAATAAAATATTTTTTTATTCTGTATCAGTAAGTCTGCAGGATCTTAGCCTGGTCATTGTCAACCACCCTGTGGGGTATATCCCATTTTGTCCATGTATATCCCATACTCAACATAGATGTTCCTGTATTTTATACAGTGTGCCAGCCACTTGTATATGGTCTTCCATGTATGCCGTGCATGTTAGAATCTTGTACCCTGCTGTTATGTGCTGGACAGTCCCTGTACAGGTAGAGTAACTATGGTAGCAGAGAGACTCACTGTGTCTCAAAGTGACATCAAGAAGATGATAGAGGTTACTTTATTATGTTCTGTATTGACTGTGGATCAATTAGTTAACCAAACCTTTTTATATAGGTTCAAAAGTGAACTTCTTTAATTTTGATTGAACTAAAATAAAAATAAAAACTAAATGTTTTTATTTAGTTTAAGTTAACTATAATAACCTTGGCTCACACATTAAGACACACTTTTTTGTGTTCAAAACTCGTATGACTGTGTCAGCACTGTGATTTCCTTCAGTTTAATTTCTCCCTGATAATTGACTGAAATAACTGAACTGAAATACTTTTTGAATATGTGCAGTTTCAGGTCTGAGCGTGTTGCTCCATCTAGTGAGCCATCTTAAGCATTGCTTAAAGTGACCTGAATAGGGGAGACCGGGGATAGTTGCAACATGGGTCAGTTGTAACACTTTCAATTTCTCCAATCAGGGCTAAGTTTCAAATGATGTGACTCATCCTGTGCATGCCCAACTCAGTTCTGCTATCACATGTGGAAAATCAGCACATTTTGTCAAACACAGACAATTTAACACGAAAAAAAGTAATTTGTATGCCAAAAAGTAAGTTTTTCCCATTTATTTCAATTTCTAATAGCATTATCTGCTTTGCAGCGAAACTCATCAAACTTAAATTATGTTATTTGTATGTCTATGGGGATATATTCTGTGTAGGTCTTTAGTGCTAATGTTTTAGCCGTTGGCTGTAATGTTAGCTAGTTCATGGCTATAGGAGTCTGGGTCAGTTGTAACAGCAACAGTCTGGGTCAGTTGTAACAATAAGGCAGATGTTAAAACTTACCACACTATTACTTTAACTTATATTAAACAAGTTGGGGCAACGACATCAGCAGAGAGAGGTTCACTGGTCGCATTTGTATATGTGGTTAATGCCATTGGCAACACAATTTCTCCACTGTTTGTGTTCCCACACATACATTATGCAGACCTCTGTGTCAGAGATGGACCAGTAGGAAGTACTGGTAGTGGAAATGGGTGCAAGAAACAGATTTCCTCATCTTTCTGAAGCACTTTGAAAACCACACCAAGGTAAGCCATGATAAAAAGTAATGGAATTGCGATGCTGGTGAACAACTACATTTTTTCAGCTTCATTGTTATGTTCAAAATTGGTGCAAGAGTTGTAGGTTATAATGCCCACTGAGCCAATGAGGCCAAACTCTAGGAAGACCAACCAAAATTAATGAAATATTCAGTTGCAGAAAATTCCATAATTTGTCTTTTTTGGGGGGTTGGAATATGTTCAAAAGCTAGATTTCGGCATTCTGTCACACACACACAGAGCTACATAAATGGATGTAAGTGCATTCATGTGTTGAATAAACAAAGATTACATGTTAATGTTTTGTTAGTACCCTTATTTCATTGTGTTACATTTCACCCCGGGATGTTACAACTAACCCAGACTATGGGGTTAATTGTAACATTTCACTCTTCGTGTTTGAGGCCATACCATGCAATGGGTAATTGTGCTGCAGAGAAAATAGCTGCACTATTTAATAGCAGAGACATGTAAATACTTTGCATTACATTTTGAATCCACTACCTTAACAGAGCTCCAATTTACAGACAGAAATGTCAAAAATGTTACAACTATCCCCGGTCTCCCCTACTGCTTAGTTTTTTTTTTAATTTAAGTTTTTTTTTATAAAGTACAGCAACAACAGAGCTATTCTGCACACATCTGTATCAGCTTTATTGGGCAAGTATGAGTAACACAACACCTTCTCTCTGGCACTGCTCAGAAAGTTTGATGCGGCTATAACCTGATCACGGAGGTCATTCCTCTTTATTTATTTATTTTCTTCGACAAAAGACACTTACTTACTTTTAAAAAAATCTACATAAAATTTACAAAGTTCTGCCTGCCCTACAATGCTTTTGATTCAGATCAGCATCAGAATTTGCTTTGCTACATACACTGAATTAAATTATAAATATGAAAGATAGAAAAATAAAAATAAGGTACTCTGTTGAAGATGCAACATGTTAAATATGTACTCTAAAGTTATGCTGTATACAATGTAAACAAGATATGTGAAAGTGAAAATAGTGAAAATAGTCCAAGTGTCACAGGGAGAGTTTGAGGCTGAAAGTGTTCCGACTATCCAGCGTGTCATGGAGAGGGTATGAAGGATTGTGTCATGGTCCATGTGAGTGGCTGTTTTTCTATTAGCTCTCGGTTTCCACCTCTAGGTGGAGCCTCATCAGCCTTTAAGACCAGTGCTCTCAACAAATCTTTGCCAGAACGCCTGCTAACCTCTGATAGTGCTGGAGGAGCAGGGAAGCGAATGACAGACCTTCTGATTGGTAGATAACCCAGTCTGTTGCCTGAGCCACGGCTCCGTAAACTGGAATTGGGATTTTGGCATTGTATTATTCAATGGAAAAACAATAGCAATATTAGCAACAACTGCTTTTTCCACGAGGTGTTGTGTAAGTCAGTATCCATGCTGGAGTTGTATTGTGTTCACATACAGAGACATGCTCAGAAGATGTTGGTTCTTTTCTGTCTCTGGTATCTTTCTGTTCTTAAGGTGGTTGATTGTTTTTCTGATCTTCACTTTTGCTGGTTTGCACAGTTAATTTTGAAAGTTATTTTTCATCCTATACACACTCAAAAACTAATTGCTGATATATGCTGTTAATACACCAACATTTTTTATTTTTTGCCTTAATCTGATGAGAATAATGAAGAAGAAGGAATTCAAGGGAAGCCACACAACAAAGAGACTCAGGTTGGAATTGAACCCAGGCTACTACACTTAATCTTATGTATGATCTCTTGGGCAACTGGTGAGCTAAAGCAATACACAACATAACCACATATATACATAAAATTTGGTTGCATTGATTCACCTTTAAAATTCAGTCAGTCCAAATTTTTTTTGGACTGTCCCTTTGAAAAATCAGAGTCAGATGTATACAGCAATGGTGTATTATTACAAAAAAAATAAATAAATAAATTCCAGTCACTTAAGGGAATGCCACCAACCCTTAAGTGACTGGCATTGTGGTAGATTGGTAATCTGTAGGTGTTAAACACTCTGTTCTTTAATCAGAACGCAGAAATGCATATGGCTCATCTGATGATGTGGATTGCTACTGCCTGAGTTTGTGCTGCGTAGCAGCAGTCACAGAGAAG